TGCCAATCATTTTAGCTTGCATTGTTTCCTTCGCGGTTTGTTTTGTTTTTCTTCCCACTCAGCATAACTTTTCCAGTGCTGTGAAGACTCGAAAACGAGTGTTGGGATTCCTGCGGTTTAAAGGGGAATAGGTCTGAGAGGGTCGACACCTGAGAGGGCCGAAAGGGACTGGTGAGCACAGAGTTTAAAAATGGCGGACGATGTAGGATGATGAATGATGAAACTCGAACCGGCCTCTATGTTGTTCGCCTCCAATTTCTTCATATATGGCATCCCAGAGCCTTAAAACGTTTAAGAACAATTATTTAATGCGATGAGTGAACGTCAGGCTATTCCTGAGCGCCCTTCAGCATTAAACAGCCCCTCTGTAAACTCGTTTTATTCGCTACGAACATCTTCAGGAGGTGTTACATCGACTCTTGTACTGCATCCACTGGACCTGATAAAAATTAGGTTTCAAGGTAAGATACTAGGAATAACTTGGTTGTGTGTAACGTGCAAATGCATTGCAATGTTAAATGTAATGCTATATATGCAACCAGCCGTGTCCGTGTGGCGTGAATGTGAAACTAAAGCATGAAATAAATAAGAAAGCGAAAAAGGCTATAAATAAGGTTTGGACACTTCTTCATGTATATTTAAGATGTGCACGTATTTATTTGTTCAAAAAGGTCAACTTAAGTTGGATTTTGCCTTTCCTCGTGATTAAAAAGATAAGCTGGACTCTTCTCGCAGACGAAAAATCAAGTCCTAACGATGGCCATTTTTAGAGGTTCCTCATTAACATTCCTAATCCTGCCATTGCAGTAATTATCTTCATTAATCCCATTTTCCTGACAATTGTTGTTGACTAGTCCCTGTCCTGAAATTACGTACAAAACCGTGCCTTATAGGAGTTCCAGACTTCCTCATCTTAGGGGAATCAGTCAATCATACATGTAAAAAAAAAGGGTGGTAGACTGTATGATCAAAATAGGTGTGCGATAGGGTCAAGAAAAATGTGGTTAATGATGAGCATGATGTACATGTCATAAGCTTGCTCCAGGGGTAGGACCCTGGGCAAACCAGGGGAAAAATGGTGGGTTTAGTAGAGGATGGGTTGGATTGTCTGCCCTAAGTGAGGGGAAAATTCAAGACGTTATTTTTAGGTTTGAATGAAGTGGTGGAGGAAATTGACATTTTGTAAAATTTTGGAAGGCAACCAGGTGAACATCATTAGAATTTAACACCTTCCCCAACCCATAATTTGGCAAATGATAATACAGTTCATATAAGTAGACCCCGGCCTGCGTGAATCTGTCTGAAGTCTTTTATGATTTTTTAAATAAAAAATATTACCTTGCTTTCCCGGGCATAAAATAAATGAGTCAAATTTGATCGCCAACTATTATAGCTTGCATAGCTGGAGGGACCAAAGTTTAAAAGTGCTCCTTGATGTCCCTGCATGTGGCTTTTCCCCATTCTTCTTATAGTTTTATAGGCTAATAACCACAGGTTCTTTTATAACTGTCATGAGTACTAAATCCCACCTTACATACATAATTTTGTTAATGCATCTAGTTTCACGCAATCACTTTATTTATTATATGAATGTTCTTGTTATTAGTTACAATGTAGTGATGGCAGTGGGAAGTTGCCAGCGTACAGAGGTCTAGTTGATGCAGTGTGATCCATTGTGAGAACAGAGGGTTTTAATGGGGTTGTACCAGGTTAGTACGTTCCAAACATACTTAACCCTCAGTTTAGTGATTTGTTTGGTTGTTTTTGTGCCTCTTGGAGCAATGCAGATTATTTATTTATTTTTCAGTTTAAAAGATCAAATTGGTAAGCTTAGCAGTGTCTTCAGGGAGGATAGATCTACCTCATTTTGGGAACAATCCTTCCATAGAACTTTACACACACAGGCCATCTGATAGGGTGTGATAAAAAATCAGAAATTGTATTTTCAGGGTAGATTGTGCGATAAGATAGGGCTATTGTGCAATAAATTATGAGATTTTTTCAGGGCTAATTTACATTGCAGGGTTTGCAAATTTTATTGATGAGTGGAGTCAGTGTGACTTCTGCTTGACAAATTTTGGAGTCATTTTGGAATATTTGGAGT